TGAGCTGGTGTCTCATGTTACAGATAGGAAAGTTGAGGTTGGAGAGGTTCAATAACTTTCCCAAAACCCCTAGCCAAGTGATTATTTAATAGCTTAGTCCCAACTTGGAACAAAATCCCCCTATTCAAGTCCATGCTCTTCCACTCTGTGTGCCAATCAACAAACCTCCATACTCCAAGGAATAGTAAATGTCTCCGTCTGGTCTCTTTTCTTGATAGGGTCTATAAATGTGATGGAAATAGACCCCAGGCCCTCTGCCAGGCAAGGGGAAGCAGCCACGGCTCGCTCTCCACAGTGGGGGTGTGGCTTCAAAGTACTTCTCAGTGCCCTGGTGTAACTGTCTCTCCCTCACAGACCAGCCTTTGGCTTCAGCAACTTCCCAAACTTGAAGGACTGAGGTCGGATTCCCAGCAATATAAGCAGGCCATTGGGGCCAGGGAGGCTGGGAGTGGAGGGGAGAGAGACTGGGAGGGGTGGAGGGGAAGAGAGAAAGAGGAGAGAGAGGAGGAAGAGGGAGAAGGAGAGAGAGGGAGGGAAGGGAGGAGGGAGAGGGAGAGAGAGAGAGAGAGAGAGAGGGAGAGAGGGAGAAAGGAGAAAAGGGAGGGAGGGAGGGAGAGGAGAGAGAGAGAATACGACTATTATTCATTATTTTCTGGGTAAAATAATGTTCATGAGCATGTGAACTGCTGACTGCTGTGGGGGAGCTATGAAGCTTGTTAAGTTGTGTGTAAGGTAAGAATCCCTTTTCCATGAGCTTCATGAATCACTTTAGTAAGAACTGCAGTTTAAAGAGGGAAGGGTTTTGTTTTGTTTTGTTTTGTTTTTTTTGAGAAACCTGAAGATCTACAAAAAACATTGTCCACATCCAGACCTAGATATATGTTCCCTGTGAAATGATGGTATTGAATATTAGCTATTTAGTTTTAAAACTTAAAAAATAGCTAACTTGTGCCACCCTATAGATTTTGTCATTTTTGTTTGCTTGTAGCATTTTATGTGGATCTGTTTGTGATTTTAGAATCCTGATCAATTTCTAGCAATTTTTAGTTTTTAGCTTTACTCAGAGTGAAAATGCTTGCTCAACTGATAACTTTGAGACAACTGTTTTTGACTAAAATTACCAATCACATAAATTGCATGTCAATGGAAGTCCCTTGTGACTTTACATTGTTTATCTATGATCACATAGTTTATAGAACATCCCTACGAAGTAGTAGAAACTATTCCATTGTTTCTATATATCCATAATGTTGCAAATCTTATTTGAATACATGGCTAAATGAATGGTAGTTTGTCAGAGACCCTTTTCCTATATAGTTCTTCAATTACACTAATGTTGAAGATTTTCGGTACAACTATTTGCCAGTTTCTTACATCCACAGATTCAAAACCAATCAGTCAGGACTATCCATGGCTATTTGTATGGTTGTCAAACTTATGGTCTATTTTCTTACTATAATTTGCTTGTTAGCAGCAATGCCTCACTAGCCTAGACAATATTGGCTTAGTGCTTGAGTTATTAAGCTGAAAATTATTTTATGGGAGTGTTGTGTTCCCTACATCCCAAGTTGTGAACTTTGTATTTATTGTTCGTTTTCTTATGGCTGTGTTGTTAGATTAAAATTGGGGATTTGAGTGGATTTATTATTTTTGATATCTTTTCTTTCTGCTTCTTCAAAGCAATGCCGGTAGTCACAAAATTAATGTGATCATGGCTGGTGTTTCCCATCTATATGCTCTTTTTGCTTCTTACAAATTGGATTTCTACAGCAATTTAAGATCTTTATTTAGAGGCAGATTTCTTGGATGAAGATGGAACAATGATCTCAGTCAATTCATTATCTTGTCCAGTTTGACTACCAGCTGTATTATGGGAATCAACCAATGCTTTTATAAATTAGTTAAAAAAAATTTAAATCTATGACTATTTCTCTGAATTCTATTTAAGACTATTGTACAATTGAGATAATATAATAAATGAAGGGGGCAATCACCTCAAATATTTAAGTGAAAGAAAAAAAAACCTTTTCAGATATGCTAAGCAGATTTAAAGAACCCTTTTGTGTTGCTTATTTGTAAACTAAATAAACTATCTGTTATGTGGCATTGCTTTAAATAGAAACCCTGGCACTTTAAAAATGACATCATGTTTAATGTTTTCACTAAGAGTTCTTATTCTTACATTTTGTAATTAGGGAAAAAATGGTCAATTAGTGTGTGTGTGTGTGTTTTTAGGATCCATTAGTATTCCATTGTTGGTAATCACAAATCATGGATTTAACATAAAGAGAGAGAGAAAGAGAAAATGAGAGAGAAAACCTTTTATAAATTTCCAGGTAGTGATAACAGTGTTCCCGAAAAAGAAATAAATATTTTGAAGGTCTTCTTGAGACAGTGGGACTTTCAAAACAAAATTACAAAGATTAGGATAAATTCCTGAGTGTGTAAGAGGTTACACTGACATTTTTTGAAAAATGGATCAGGATCAATTTAATACTTAAAAAAGACAAATTTTAGTGGTTTTTCACTTATTTTCTCAAGGTTCACATCTGCAACCTTTGCCCTAAAATTAATAAGGATTGAAAACCACCATGCTGGCATTGGGTTTAAGGTAGTTTTAGAGTGCCTAAGCGTTCCTATTCACTTCGGGATTCTGATGTGGGGAGTAGCAACAGGCAGAGCTGGGGAGGTCTTCTTATTGATGGCCAAACTCTTCATGTTACAGAGACCATCCTAGGGCTGGGAGTACCCTCAGCTCACTCACAATAGAGCTAGAAGCATCAAACTGGGCCTAGCTAGATTCCAGGTCCCTCCTGGCAGTCGGTTTCTTTTACCACCAATCAGACTGCCTTTGTCATGAATGAAGCATAACCCAAGGCTTGTATGTTTTCTTCTTTTCAAGTCTTTTGCTCATAAATCTTTCAAAGACAAATTTTCAGATCTTTTGTATGAATGCCTTGACTAAATAAACTACAGTTTCTATTCGGTTTATTCTTCTGTTCTGCACTGTTAAGTTTTTGAATGCTGGCCTCTTTATTTGAAGGTCATTCTTTACCATTATTTCTCACTAGACATGCCCTGTAAAATTACCCCATCCAGGTTTGTTTGAGGCTATATGTCAGGCAGGACTAAAAATGGCCCAAAAGAAGGCCTCAGAACACGGCAGTTAGCTGTCTTTATTTCCTGTCTTTTCTGGATGTTCTTTGAGGAAGGGATCTGAAAAATTAAAGCTAAAATAAATAATTTTTCTTTTTGTGAACTAGACAACAAGTGCTATTTTCAGTTTGGCAGGTGTCTTTTCCCCCAGGTCCCAGTCGTAATATGTTACATTCCAGGATGGTGATTTCAAAAGTGAATATCACTACGTAAAAAGAAGTGAGTTAAGGTTTGACAGTCAAAACATGTCTAATCAGGCTCATAGAAATCATTCTTGTAACATAAGGGGGCTCCAGAGCACTGAACATTTGATTTAAGATGACATCTTGTATTTAGGATGGGGAACAAGAATATCTAAATCTTGAATGCAGCTACTGTCTGTGTTGTTTGGCCTAACCAAAGCTTTCCTTCCTATCTCTACAAATGAAGTCTTTATATCAGAATTCAGGTCTCTTATTCTTTTACTATATTAAGGAACCCTGTATACAGGTAGAATTTCTCAAATCCCAGCCTGTTGTATGCAGTTCTGCTGGTTTTCCAGTGGGAAGCATCCTTGTTTTTGTTAAATCAGTTGATTATTAGAAGAAATATATTTTATCTCATTTGTGATACTGCTTCCAGATCTGGCAGGCCCACTTCAATTTATCAAAGCAAGACGTTTCTTCTTTAAAGAAGCAATGATGCTCTTTCAGTTCTGAATGACCAAGCACTAATCTAGACTCCTAAGGGTAGAAGGTTGAGAGTGTTGTCCAATTTACGAGTAAACCTGGTTGTGATGTGGCATACTATTATGAAAAGCCTGACTTGCCTCACTGCAAAGACAACAGAAAAAAACCACTGCTTCTGGAAGGAAAGACACTGTTGTAGGCTCAAATTTCTAAATTGTAAGGAGGGAATGATACTTTGCTGAAGGCGACTCTCAGAATGCTCATGCTCTCTGGGGTTATTAAACTACAACAAGGTAAAACATTTACAGACTAGAACTAGGTCATTTGCATCTTAAAAGCCTTAATAATTTTCTTCATCCATTCTCTGCATTTTCCTTATGCTAATGTTTTTTCTAGATTTATATTTTAACATCCATTCCAGCTACTTTGCTCTCATGAATAACCCCACAATAACAAATCACAAGTGAGCACACCACAGAGAGAGGACATTTTTCCATAAGGGAAACAGATTTCACTATTGAATTTTAAAATAAAGAATTTCCAGGATAAAACAGAGAAGAGCGGTTTGAAATATAATTGATGCCATTACTGGTGGTCATTTATAACTCTGTCTGTAGCAATGGGAACAGTTTGAGACTGAAAGGGAATCCCCCAAATGCTGCCTTGAACTCATTATACCTCCCTCCTCCAGGTTCTTCAATTATGACTAAAAAAGTGTTAGTCATGAACAGCACTATTGAATATGAGAAATTCAAATGCCAGTACCATGTTTAATTTTAAAAGTGCTATACTGCCACATTAGAAAAGTGAAAAGAAACACATGAGGTCAATTTTAATAATATTTTACTTAACTCAGTATATTTGAAATACTA